GTACCCCATTATCATTCATATCACATGATATCACATCATAATGTATCATATATTTCCTTATCTGAGTCAGCTTCTTGAGCCGTATCTGGCCGTGCAACACTCACAGTGTCACATACTGTATGCAGAAGTATTATTTTAAGCAACACATTAAGTTGACGAAACACTCGAGTCAAATGTAATTAAAGTCAGATCCACTCGTGTCTTGGACGGGGCAGCAGTGATATCATAAAACTGTTAATGAACGTATTCAAACACTTTTTCTTTTACCAGCTGTATTCACCTTGCAGCTGCAACTATGTGGCTTTTATCCTGGATAAAGTGTTTAAGTCATGGATGTTTAAAGTTTAACGTCTTCATATTTGTCTAATATTAGTTGACTTTTCATTCAGGAAATATATGACGCGCTGCGCTGTCAGTACACGGCTTGTCCATGTTTGTGATTGGTCGAATGCTCCAAATACCACCCCTTTTATGTGAACGCGCACCTAACTAGATAGGACACGGCTGGCTTGCGGTCGAGGTGATAGCCAGCGTCGTAGGACAGTTTAGCGAGAGCGTTTTTTTTTTTTTGGATTTAGTCAGCCGGATAACTCAAAACATATCCAGGATATGTTGAACTAGATTCGTAGTATACCCCCCTGGACTCGTGGACACTGCCTCAAGTTGAAGAAACAGTACTCAAGACTGGCTATCCGCCGCAACTTTTTCAGCCTGCGTGTGGTTGACTTGTGGAATGATCTGCCAGAAAGCGTTGTCACATCCAAGACGGTTAACTGTCTCAAGTCCCGCCTCGACCATTACTGGTCAAACATCACCTTCACTTTGGACTATGTGACTGTTGCCAGCATCCATAGTATATAAAGAACAGTGTACTTATTTATGAGCGACTAAAAGGCCTTAGGCCTATTACAGCCGTATCCTATTGATATTGATTGATTGACACCTCTGCTTTATTGTTTTCCAGGGTTTTCAGGGCTGTTATCAACATTGACGTCTTTTGTGGTAAAACAAGTATGATAGTTGGTCAAAAATTAGCTTCCCTTCCCTGAGCCTCAGCCTATGGGACGGTGATACGATGCTAATTTGCATGGATGTCACTATATGTCACTCATTTGTCCGTGCAAGGCTATTTAAACTCACCTGCAATAAACCAGCAGAAGAGAAATAACGATGTCAAGGAGTTCCACATCGTGCAGATTCGACTGAGCGGGCTGGTGTCTCCATCTTCGGGGGTTTTGGCGCAGGGCAGGCAGGAGAGCAGCGAGAGCACCAGGCCAAAGAACCCCACCACTATCAGATAGATGGGGATGTAGTGTTTCCTCGGACAGTCATGCAGATGAACAGCACCTGGAGGACACATGGGTGGCATTGCATTTATCCACATTCTTAACAGACATTACAAATATAATATCACTTAAACAAAATCTGTAAAATGAATCGCTCACTTACCAATTGCAATCTGAGCAATGGGTATGATACAGAAAAACAACTTTGAAACAGCTGTAAAAGAAAGAATAGATTAAAACACATTTAAAGCGTCTTCACTGTACACAATCAGAGTCAAATGAACCGATGACAGGCGTGCACGTGGGCTCACCGAGTACGGGGGTTGGGGGTTGAGGAGTGCTGCGGATTCGGCGAATAAGGCCTACGTTCGACATGTTCAGTGGTGAGGGTTCTGAAATAAAGAAGAAAGGATCAAAACTGAGCAGACAGTTGTGTTAATTGTTAAAAAGTACAAGTCTAGACGCTGACAGTGATATTCTATTAGCCAGCCCAAAAACAAAAAACCAGGAACTTAAGAAGCTGAAATCAGGGAATATTCTGCATTTTTGTTTGACAAATATAATATATATACATCATTAATATATAATTTCTAGTCTTAACGATGTAGACAACTGGTTTTGAAAAAGAAGAATGCATTGAATTAAGGAAATATATATATTTTGTACTTTCCATTGTCACTGACAGTGTTAAAGAATTCCAATGCCGGTGTGAGGAGTACTTTCTTAATTAATACGTTATGTTAAGCAGTCAATATGTCCTTTTCACATTACAATTAATTTCCCACAATGCAACGAAGCGTCTTCAATTAGACCAATGATGACGATGCCTCTTGATGGTCTGTTTCTTTGTAAATGCACACCTGAAACATGATAAGGTTTTTTTCAATGGCTCCTGTTTGAGTCATATACAACCTTATCTCTTATCACAATCCCAAGTTAACTGATTAGGATGTAAAATCAGTGGCAATCCCTTTAGGCATTTAGGGAAATTACTCATGAAAGGATCCTAGATTTTAAATTGTGTTTCTGTTACACATAAGTTAAAGAAATTGTGAGTTGTTAGGGTAAGAGAATACATTATACATGCATGTTGCTGCTCATTACAGTGATTTAATCAGGTCAGTTGATTTATCCCAGAATAAATTCAATTTAGTTTTCCTAAATAAAATGTGATGACATGAATTGCGTACAGTTTTGTTTGTTGTTGATGTCCACAAATGTACAATACATGTGTTCAGGAAGAGTAAGCCAAATGACAGCTACAGTAAGTGGTTTGACTGGTTTCATATGAAAGCCAGTTGGACCAGCAACAAGAGACAACCTGTGCACAAAAACTACAACATTAAAGCAGACAACGAAGAAGAAATGTAGTATGACAATTAGACAAAATATGTGAAGCTGAAATATAACTTTAGTCCAATTTAGGATAGTTAACTGATATTAAATTAGATTTAGTATGTGATGTCAACATTGCCTCTACAACATTTAAGTCGACTGACCACTTTCTATTTTGGTTTCACTTCACATGTCCAAAACTTTGGCAAAGGTTACGCAGCCTGATAAATAAATGCGGTCAAAGCCGGAAATATAACGTCTATCTGTGGCCTCACCTTTTATTTCTGAGTAAAAGTTAAATGTAACCTGCCACACCCCGCTAACACACCGGCATAAAGTTAACTTCTAACACCAGATAATGGGTTTCAACTGCGGAATAACCGCGTAAAGTGTCAACGTAATATTGTAATGCAAAAAAGTGACGAATTGTTTTGTTATAGGACACTTACCCTGCTGTTAGTCAGTCTGCCTCCTTCCCGCAATCTGCACAGCTGTGAGTCTGACATCGCCTCGTGAGCTGAAGTAACTCCACCTCTCGGGAGCGCGCATGCCCATCAGCTGACTGTAGACCTAAAAACGATAGGCCTGTTTCTCAGTAGAGGGATAAGTATGTATGTATATCCTCTAATTCAGTAAAAGCAGCAATATCACAGTGTAAAAAACACACTAGTGGAAATAAAAAACATAATTAGTAAAAGTATTATGCAACAGAATGGCAACAGCAATTATTCTTACAATTACATTACTCCTATTGTTGTCAGGATGGAGCTAATTATAAATACCATACCTAATATACTATTTGGTAGTTCAACACTTAATTATCATTTTAGAAACTCATGATTTTCTGTTCAAAAGTTGCAATCTAAAAAGAGTAGAAAGTCAAAGCTATGCAAGTAATATATAGTATAGTATCATAGTATAGTATCACAGCATAGAATGTAAAAAATTAACACTTGTTAATAGTACAGCATTTTGAAACTCAACTTAGAGCAACATAAAACAAACCACATTTCAACACTTCAAACAGGCTCGGGATATACAAATACTGTCAAATGAGTACAGTTAAAGGTTGACCAAGCCTTAGCCTTTAATCTTAGATTTGGAGTTTGCATTTGGAACAGAGGTGTGGCCACATTCAGTAGCACACAGTAGTTTTCCTAAGCGATATAAGCTCCAGTAATGCTGCAGTTTATCTCGGTCATTTACATGTAATCAAAACGGAGGAAAATAGGAAAAACGTTTAATAAATGTTCATGCTTAGTCTCACACAGTGTGTTGTTTCCGATTCTGTTTGCAGTCCTGCAAAAAAAAATTCATTCAGTTTTGCTGACTTCAGATGGCCTCCTATCTTTACCTGATTAAACAAGACTCAATCAATAGTTGGACTGCACCAAAGTTTTAGTTTTCATTGCAAGCAGCCCAAAATGTATCTCATATCCATCCATGTTAAAACATTCACTCTCACCAGGGTGCACTTTAATCGTTCCCATTGTCCGGCTACTGATTTCAGTCTTGTCTAATCAAGTCAGATATGAGACCATGTGAAATCAGCAAAACTGTATGAAGAGACTGCAACATGTTGTGTTGCAACACATGGCTCTGGGCTAAAAGCTGAAGTGAAAGTTTTCCCTCAAAATATTACTTCAATAATTTGAATACTGCTGCAAATGAAATAAACTGACTCGTCAGTACACTCTAAAAAGTGTTAATTATTTAATCATAGGAAAAAAAATCAAAACACAAATGCAAATATAGTTTTCTACATTGACATTCAAACATATTAACAACATAAATAATTGTAAAAATACAACCACAACAGCAACAAAACAACAGTTCTTACGATTAATTAAATATAATACCACACAGAGGAAATATTTTGGCCGCAGTTCATTCTTTTGCATGGACTGCTTGAGTCGTGAAAGATGGTCACCCTAACATCCGACCTGCAGATCACCACAGAGTACAGAATACACCCCGGGTGCAAATAGCATTTTTAGTCACCTGGGTGTAAATAGCATTCTTCACTATACTCACCCAGGTATAAATAGCATTTTTGACTATAGTCACCCGGGTACAAATAGCATTTTTGACTATAGTCACCCGGGTACAAATAGCATTTTTGACTATAGTCACCCAGGTACAAATAGCATTTTTGACTATAGTCACCCGGGTGCAAATAGCATTTTTGACTATAGTCACCCGGGTGCAAATAGCATTTTTGACTATAGTCACCCGGGTACAAATAGCATTTTTGACTATAGTCACCCGGGTACAAATAGCATTTTTGACTATAGTCACCCGGGTGCAAATAGCATTTTTGACTATAGTCACCCGGGTACAAATAGCATTCTTGACTATATAAACCCAGGTGTAAATAGCATTCTTCACTATACTCACCCAGGTGCAAATAGCATTACTGACTATATACACCCAGGTGCAACTAGCATCTGCCTTAAATACATCTTTAATTACAAAATGTATCAGCGGTTTAGTTGTTTAACACAGTCTAACTTTAGTTCATCAAAACTTCTGTTTGTCCATCCACTTCCACCAGAGAGGAAGACACTTGCCATGTCAGGGAATAGTAACCAGGGCAACGCAGGATGCTGTCACAAGTCTGTGAGGCAGACGCTGGAGGAGGTCTCGACGTAGACGCACCCTCGGTACCCGGACCGGGATTGGCCGCCTCGCAGATCGATCACATGACTCCGACTTCTCTCTGACTCGGCCGTCTGGAGCCGAGCCTCTCCCAGCATGGAGTCCCACAGCCACCCTCTGCTCCACAACTGCACACAGCAAGACAGGATTGACTGTGTGTGCAAACGCTGTGTGTGTGTGAGAAAGAATATATAAATAAGTCAAACCTCGATAGAGATGTGTGTGCTGGGGTATCTCCTGTAGAAGATGGCTCTGAGGTTGAACTCTGGGTTTCCCTCCGCCTTGAAAACATGTGTCCTGATGGTGTCGTTCTCACACCGCACTATGGCATAAACATCTGGAGCTGTGGAACATAATGGACAATACAACAAAATGTTAAGAAACATGGTATATTTTCCTCTGCTATCCCTTATAGGAGATGCAGTGGTTCTGTGGTACGCAACCTTTTTGTTTGGGGGGGTGAAGTCCTGATGCCCTTCGGAGGTAGACAGTGGTCACCAATGTTGGTTGAGGTAGAAAACAGTGGAAGACAGAGGGGGACAGCAAATCCTCCTTCAATTCCCTATCCAAAAAAATTAAGATATAACAGATTAAATCCACCGAAGACAGAGAAAATTGAGTTAAGCCTGTAAGGCCCACAGTTGTAATTTTACAACATTACTTTAAGCTATCCTAAAAAAGTCACATAAGCTGATTTTGAGCAGCTTATGTCTTTGTTGTAATATTACAACACTGGGTCAGTGTGGTACTCAAAATAGCATAAGCACCTGTCATGGACCCTGCCCTTCTTACATGTTCACATATGGAAATAAAACACTAATAGAAATATAATGTCTTTGATAATTCACTATAACTAAGTTCTAAATGTGTCCTCTGTTAAGATTTTGAATTCAGACCAGAATTGAATAAATTAATACATTATTTCTGATAAAAGTATGTGAAATTATCTGTAGCAATATTTTAAACTCTACTTGTATCTTATCAGTTAATTAGTTACAAAAATACATTTAACTCTGGTTCTGGCAGAAACAATTCTTTCTGAAATTTGTTGGGACACTTGGATGTATCCCTTTTAGTATGACAATTAGCCTATTATCATTAGCCAGACATCATTGTGTGACTTGTTGAACTGGTTTACCTGCATGTGTGGGTGTAGGTATTCCTTTGATTATGATAATAGGCAGGATTGTGTGACTTGTTGAACTGGTTTACCTGCATGTATGGGTGTAGAGAAGACGCCGACGTGTCGCACTTTTGTCACATCATTCATATCACATCATCTATCAGATTACAAATGTAGCTAACCCCGCCTCTTTCCCGTGAACGCGCTCTCAGCTGGAGAGAGAAACCCTGGCTTGATTTACCGAGTTGATAACCAGCGTCGTAGGACCGCTTAGCGAGATCTCGTTTGTTAGGGTTAGTTAAGATAACTCAAACATATCCAGGGTATGTTGAACTGGCTTCGTAGTACAGGGCACAGGTGGCTGCATAGCAGCGCTAATGTCAAAGACAAAAAAATTAAAATATAATGTTTGTGTATTTGACATTAGCGCTGCTATGCAGCCACCAGTGCCCTGTACCAGGGCCGTCCCTCCCTACAGGCAGATCATGCAGACTGCGTGGGGCCTCACCTCGCGGAGGGGGCCTCATCTTGCGGAGGGAGCCTCAACTAAGACGCAAATGCGGCGCACCTACACAGGAAATATTGGTGAGTATTTTTTCCAGAGTAATTACTATTTTGCTCTGAAATAGTGATATTTAATCATTTTGGAGTTTATTTATTACTCATAGCTTCTAGAGTGCGATCAAAAATGCAGAGTCAATTCTATTGGAGTTAAACCATGACCACGCTGTAACGGAGGTGATCTCTGGGGCCATAGATCTCGCTCTCCGTTATGGATTATATAGCTTCATTATTGGCGAAATATATTCATTTGTTCCACGCTAAAACATTGCACAGGAAGCATGTGATTATATGTCATTTATGCATATATTTGTCACAATCTGTCTATGTTTTAGTTTGTCTGTCTCTGTTTCCTGTTTTAGTTTGAAAAGTGTTCCCCCTCCCGTCTTGTCTGTTGCTGGTGATTGTGTTCACCTGGTGCCCTGTGTTTCTCCTCCCTCCTCACCTGTGTCTTGTTGGTTTGATTAGTCCTGTGTGTATTTAGGTTCTGTTTTCCTGTTAGTGTGTGTGTGAGGTGGCTGGTGACTGTGTTCACGTGAGACAGTCATATTGAGGCTGTGTATCCTGTACCACAAAGAGGAATAAATGCCCACACCGGGTTGTATTTGAACTCTCTGCCTCTGCCTCCTTGCTTGGTCGGGCCGCTCAATGGCCAGCTTCACACACGCCCACTCATGTTCCTTAAGCACTTTGGTTTATTGACCTTTTTTATTGTAAAGATCATTATGGTTCATTTATTCTATTCTGAGTAAAATTACCTTCTATTGGGAGTAAAATTACCTTCTAGTTGGAGTGAAATGACGTTCGATTGGGAGTAAAATTACCTTCTATTATGAGTAAAATGGCAGTAGAGTTGTTTTTAATATACACTACATAGAGTAAATAACCATTAAGCAGAGTCAAATCTAAGCACATAATAGAGTAAAATGAACTCTAAAAATACAACTCTGAACAAAGAGTACATTTTACTCTATATAGGTTGGAACCAAATGTTATATTTTTAGAGTAAAATGTTCATCAATTTGAGTCAACTTTACTCCGAGAAATTTACTGTGTATGCGCTTAGTTGTTCAATATATTTATTCAGACTATGTGAATAGAAATACAGGAATTCTGCTCCCACCTAAGCCCAACGTTGCAATATTACAACATTTCCCTAAAAACGTACCAAAATGCCCCCCTACGACAACATCTGAAAGGTCAAAACAATACATTCTAATGTTTTTCTATATTTGGGCTTTACAGGGTTAAATATGAGAGCAAACAAAGTCCTCTCACTAAACTGCATTCACTTGCTATCTAAGCTTGCATTGAAAAATAATACACCAAAAGATTGCTTATTTAAAACGATTTTTGCACCAACTTTTGGGTGCCAATACATCCTTATTTTGGAGTTTTTTTGTTTGTGGGGATTTGTTTTATTTTCTGTGTATTTGTTTCATTTTATTTTTACTTTCCTAGCCATTTAGTTTATTGACGTTCTTTTCTGGGTTTCTTTTTCACAGAAAAAAATCAACCCTAAATCGAAATCCATTTACTACGCAAACTCATATTACACAATACATTATTTATTTTACTTTAAATCTATGAATGGTTGACTTTTTTAGCTTAATTTGAGCTCAAATCCTCTGGGAGGCTCATAAAGCACTTTCAGTTGGAACAAAAGCAAGGATCTAAGTTGGGTTCACCCAATATTTTCCAAATGTTCTGATCCTACAGTATGAAACAATTTGCGATTATCCCATGCACACACACATTTCCTGTCACAGACCTGAGAGGGATGTGGGAGTGGGAGAAGAGGCGTAGCAGGAAGCGTCCTGTTGCTCCTGGCAGGAAGGTGGTGGGCAGCACCACGTACCGCCCCGGGGTCAGAGCCCCCCTCAGGGTCACACTGCGGGAGTCCATGTAGACGGAGCTGGCCGCCTGCTCCACCACACACTGCACCCGGCTGCCACGGTTCACCTCCACCTGGGCCACGGTAAGGCAGCGTTATTTGTTTTTGTGAGACCTGAACACATTTTGGTCCCTGAACTGCTCACCTTCAGCACTTCAAAGCCAATAGGCAGGTTTTCTCCTCCTCCATCCTTCCTCTGTATCCTCCTGTCCTCCTGCTGCAGACAGATTAACATCTCCTCCTCTTTGCCTCTCACCTCAAACATGAACTAGAAACAGAAATTAAAGTTAAGAATTTCACGCATCTTTGAAAATACTTAGTATCCTTCTCAGTTTTACCTGTGGATTGTGCAGGAAAGTGTCTCTGTGGTTGATGCACCCTCCACACCGACTCCTCTTGTCCATCTGTGCCTCCCATCCTCCCACCTCTGCACCACCCTCTTCCTTTTTCAGTTTTTTCACAGCCTTATCTTGCTCACGCTTCCCTCCTTTGCCTCCCTTCGGCTCCCCAAGTCTGGCCTCCTTTCTGTTACCTCGCTGCTTAGTCTCTCCAGGTTTGGCGTTGGTCTTTCCCAAGCTCAGCGTGTTGTTGCTGGGATAGACGGTGGACGGAGGGGAATTAGGAGCTGAAGCCCACTCCCCATAGCAGCGTACTTCCCTCCAGTGAGAGCTGGGCCACAGCAGAGAGCTCTCCACCATCCGGCACACCACCACGTCTGTGAAGTACTGACAGAAATCCTCAAAATCTATCCTGGGGAACAGGAAAGGAAATACATTAGCAGGAGAAGACCTGGAAATTCTCCATTGTTTTTTCTTTGCTCTGGAAACCAAACTAATAATACAAAATGTAAAAATATTATAATATTAAAGTTTTCAAGACTTACTTTAAACCCCTGAAAACCCCCACTATCAGTCGGTGGCTAAAAAACGACCTCAATGTCTTGCCTTATAGAAATTAACCTTTGCTATTAAGGAAAGGCCTACCATACCCGTTATAGAATTTGATGGAAATTCCTTAATAAAAACAAATATATTGTCGAGTTAGTATGAAATATATAACTGGATAGTAGCTTGTTTACTAGCTTTGTAACTAACTCACTGTTAAAACCTGCTATTAACACGTTCACATGTCCATTCCAATTTTTTTTTTTTATTTCAATATTTGTTTTGAATTCTCTTGAATTAGTTTTCATTATAGTTTACTACTAATATTTGTATATTTTTGTATATGTGATGTTTACGTTTCACTTGGTTTACGATAACAATGTCTGTTAAATTCATAAATGTGATATCTTTTTTTTGTCCAAATCAAAATGCCAATAAATAAACTTGAAACCCTGACAATTACCAGAACTCCCCAACGTCTCGAACAACCAGGCCCATTTTCTCCCTCTCTGCACGACTCATCTGTTGCCACTCCTGCGACCTGCAGGGGGCGTTCAAGGACAATCGTAAACAAACAAAAAATAGGCTGCAAGGTTCAACACACTGGAAATGACATGTGAAAAGTACAAGTAGCGTTTCAACTTCTGGAAACCTTTATAGGTCCATTTTGGCCATTTACAGAGATTCTCAGACCTCCATAATGTGAACGGCAGATGTCCCCTTGTAAAACATGTCCAACACTATTGTAAAATGTAGGAAATTGTGATTATGAAATGTTGTAAAGCAGCCTGACACTGTTAAATGTCAGCGGAGGTTTTTTATTCCCGCAGCTCCAGCAAAGTGTGTGATGTACTCAGCAGTCGGACATGTGGCAGATGAAGTCAGTGTGGAGTTCAGAAGACCCTCACCCTTGACTCCAGGCACCCGTCCAGTCCGTGGTCCCCCATGGGTTCCTCATGCGCACCATGAAGAGTCGGGACATCCAACCCATCTCCCCCAGCCTCATCTTCCTCACTGCTGTGATCCCATAGGCGTGTCCTCGCACCAGGCCACAGTCCAACACCGACTCCACTGTCTCCCCCTCTGCTGGCTGAGGAATAAGAATACCGTTTTTTTGTCTTAGCCTGAGTTCTCTTTTGTTCAAAGATACTCAGAGGTGCTAAGCCCTACCCGTATGGAGCAGGTGATGAGGGCTTTACGTTCATGAGCCTTAGCCAATGTCTGGAAGAAGGCCCTCCTCTGGTCGCTGTGCTGGCTGAGGGCCTCACGATCCAGGCTTAGGGGCTCCGAAACCCCTCCAGTGAAGTCGATCAGGGCCTCCGTGGTGTTTCCTCCCTCCAGGGCCTCATAGCAGCCGTTTAGCCTACAGAGTGACCAGATATATTCACTGAATGATAAATGGCTGAGCCCCTCTTCTTACTTTCAATTTTCCACTCACAGGTTTTTCTGTTTGTAGAACTATGATGTTTTACATTGGTGCATCTATGAGTTGTTGCATATATAGGTAAGGAGGCAGTTTCAGACATGTTAGAATGTGCATAGCCTACTAGGTGTTTATGAAGAGAGTGTGCTAGCAGGTTGCTACTGTATGGTGGTTGCTTGTGTGCTTATGTGTGGTTCCTTTGCTGGATGATGATAGTTATAATGGCAACTCAAGGTGCATAGGTGTTTTTCTTTTACTATAAGAACATCAACCTGACTACAGCTAAACCTCTAATGGACTCGTTATTTTTTGATGAACTCAAAACCATCAAATGGTTGGGTTTGAAACGTTGGACCCCGTTAACTCTCAATGGTCTCCATCTTGGCAATGTCACAGCAATAGCAAATGTGTGGAAATGGGGTCTGAGGACGCTACAGCTGTTGCGTTAGCTCCGGATTACAATTTTTATAATTGTCAAGTGAGCAAATGTTTGCATGGGGACCAATACCGAATGTTGCCGTGGTCCAGAGATTTATTTGTTTAAAAAGACAAGGAAGAATCTGTCAAATGTTGTGATCTGGACATAAATGAGGTACAGAATCATGTTGATGAATTAAGTTGGGAGACTGTTTTATTTTTGCCAGGATGTACTGTATATTTGTAGATGTTATAGTAGTAGATAACAATAGGGTAAGTGAGGGTAGACTGGATCCTGAAGAAGGGAGAAAAACTACAAGACCCTGGTCCTTACTTGGCGTAGGCCTTCTCCAATAGAGCGCTCCAAAACTCCCGTGGAGTGGCCGAGCGACAGAAGAGCAGCACTCCATCACTGCTGACCGGCAGACGGTCGTCCACGACAACATCCGTCCAACGGCCGAGTCTCCAGAACCGGAAATGGAAGATGCCGGCGTACAGGTTGGGACGCTTCGGGTTCCACTCCTGGTCCACATGGTCTGGGATAACCTGTGAGGAGGAGTTATGAGATGAAGCCATGGAGGTAGGGAAAGTGGAAGGAAGCAATAAACAAAGGATGACACAAATACCTTCTTCCACAGAGATGGCTCAGATGCTAAGCAGGAAATGGCAGCCACCATCCAACAGTTACCCAGACTGCCTTGGTGCAAGTCACGAGTACTGATGCCGTCAACAAACAGACGAGGGTCTTTACATATCTCCTGGTGTTTGATTGGAAAACAAGAGATGTCAAGTTAGAAGAGACACATTCAATCTGCATTCATTGCATGTTTGGCCACTTGGGGCAGCAACGGTTCCTTTTGTAATCAGACACATAGCAACATTAGCATTTATGTGAAACCATACCCTTGATATTCACTTTCCTTTTAGCTATTTTTTGTTCGCCACCCCAAATGCCGCAGTACATTTGCAAGCTATTCACTAACTTGTTCAAGCAGGTAACACAATGTTAATCGTGTTGAAACAGATAACGAGCGCTGATTGAAAAAGAAGTTAAATGAAGCCTGTGAGTGTTGGAGCACTGCTGAGGAGACAGATCCTGTCCTGATCTGTGGATATCAGTTTGAACAGGGTCGGGTAACAGTAGAGGTGCTGCTGGACACACACACACACACACACACACACACACACACACACACACATCTTGATTATAGCAGCTTATATTAAGTATAAGGCCAAAAGGGTTGTGAAGAAGACAATATGTGTGTGTGTGTGTGTGCGTGCGTGTGTGTGTGTCAGCAGAGAGAGGGGACAGATGTCTTCCTATCATCCGACTCTCAGTGGTACACGCTTAAAATACCTGAGCCGAGCATTAGGAACACAATACCATTAACCCTTTATCTTCTGCCATGGATCAGCAAAATCATTTATTTTCTTTAAGAATTCCATAGAAAGTATTTTTTTGAATAATGTTATTCAGGTCCAGTTTTCGATAGTAATTGTTCTTAACAATGTGTAGTTCTTAAGTATGACACGTATGACTTTGAAAACAATTATTTTAAATGAAATCACATCATTATTTTGTTTACAGTCCAAAACAAATACTGTTTGTCTAATCCATTCGATTAAAAGACCTTGCATAATTTATTAAATTGGTGTTTGGACCATTGACTCTGGACAATAAATAATTTAACCTTGACTCCAACCTCCCATTTCCAACGACCATTAAACGCTGCTTGTCTTGCTTTAGCCACAATAAACACCTACGCTTATACACTGCTGCACCCATGTCAACACTGAGCTAAAAACACCTGGGCTATTTCTTTATCTAAACTTAACTGTATATACACACACACACACACACACGCACCAATAGATCAGTCCATCGACAGCACGCGCCACTCGCTCCCTGAGGGCTTGGGTTTCTCTGCCTGACGCCTCTCCTATAATAGCAGGTGCTTTAATTAACTTATCTAACGGAAATGGGACATGCTGATCATTTTTAGATATGGGAGGGGAGGAGATATATTTGTCAAATAACTCTTTGTTGTTGTTCAAATTGGTTTAAACTAGTAGCAATGACCGATTTAGAGCTTCTCAGATTCAGAATACTGTCCATTAAATACCCATAAAATGGAAATGTGTGTCTGGCACTGGCAAATAAGTTGCAACAACTCTCACCATACACAGTATAACATGCAGTTCATACATACAAAAAGAGCAACATTGGCCTTCTTGTTCTTCCACTTCTCCCTGCTCTTCACACTCACCCTCGGCCTCTTCCAGGTCAGTCCCGGCGGGGGCTTCCTCCTGTAGAATAAGGACTGGGGGGTGGCGGGGAACAGAGGGTCCTGAAAGAGGGCACCTCGCCTCAGGCAGGCCCGCCTCAGCTTGTGGAAGCTCTGACCCTGGAAATGGTTCACTTGTTCGGGCATTGTGGCCGGAGAGGAAGGGCTTTGGACCAGAAGAAGAGACGTGGGACAGATGAAGGGTTCATATAGAACTTTCCATGCAGCAGTATTGGGTTACACTTTCAGAATAATAAATGGGTTGTATTTATAAGACATCCCTACTGGTTAGAACCTTGAGTGTGTATTTATATACATTTCAAAATAAAACAGCAATGCCAAACATCTGTCAGTTAGTTTCCCTTGCTTTACTCAAGGAAATAGATTTTAAAAACCCTTAAAATCATGAAAGGTGATGCAAATGTTACCTTAGAGACTTGTGTGAGAAACAAGTAAACAACATGGTAGTCTATTATGGCAAAACTACGTTTAAATAAACAACCTGTGGGAATTAATACCGAATCCAAGTTGTTTACATATCTAGTCTATAAGAACATTTACATGAATGATGCTGATAATATGTAATGTAGTTATACATATAAACATTATAAAACACCTGGCAACATTGTAATAAACCCAAAAATGCAATAAAGCTTTTTAAATATGTTATATTAAATGAGTTGGTCCAAGTAAAGTTCCACAAATGTTTGAGATGTGAGTTCCACAAATGTTTGAGATGTGAGATCCTACACAAAAATACGTAATTAAAAAGTGCATTTGTTAAACACTACTGCAAATATGAATATCTATTGACTTCTCAAAGGTTACATAGCTCCTGCCAGTTAGCAGGGGGTCCAGCAGGGTCAGTGTGTGTGTGTGTGTGTGTGTGTGTGTGTGTGTGTGTGTGTGTGTGTGTGTGTGTGTGTGTGTGTGTGTGTGTGTGTGTGTGTTTGTCTCTTGGGGGGGTTAGGACAGCGCTAACGTATTAGTACCGTTTTAGTCGTCAGTGATATGAACTGCTGGGGTCCCTGAGTCAGCAGCATGTGTGTGTCATCGAGAGTATGCCAGGTGTGTGTGTGCGTATGTGTGTGTGTGTGTGTTGGGGGTCAGCTCGGGGTCTTGCTGTACGGAGAAGAGCGAGGTGATCGGGTACACCACACCGGTTAATGTCATTAATTATCAGTGAGGTTTTGTTTTTCCTGTATCAGATTAATGCAGATAGACACAAAAACACGAGAAAAACATATAACGGTAGCACTGTCCATGAACATTTTGCACATAACAAATGTATGACTTATCATGTTTTAATGAAGGCAGCAACGAAATGCAGATACACATCAGGAACTCCTGTGCCTCGATATTATTATTTAATCACATAAAACCTAATATATAAACCTTCATAGACAACGATCAATCAATTATGAACAATAGTTGTAAATATATATATATATGGAATTACATTTGTTGTGAACATATGAGGCTAAAAGTGTCACTGTCATTGGATGTGTTGGTTTGTTTTGGTTCAAATAAAGAAGTTATTTGCGTGTGTGTTCATTCAAGTAGTTTTCTTTATTCATGTTTTGTCTCTTTTTACTTTGACAATAAAGACTAAACTATGTCAATATATTTATTTGAACATGTAAATATAACTGTGTTTGTTGTTGCAAAGGGCTCGGGAATAACTTGAATCCACACATTTTGTATTTATAATAAAGATTCAAATATAAATAAATAAAATATGAATTGACTTTACTTTACATTCACAACTGATACTTAGATAATTTATAATAAATTAAGCATAGTCTGTATTAAATATAATCTTATGCTTTATATTAAAAGCTTTTCATATTTTTGACGTACAATGAGTTATATTATTATCTAGTATTAAATTGTCATATTCTATAGTCATTTTGGGTCATTCCACAATCTACATGCATCAGATTAGATCAGTGTCAACAGTATGAACTGCAGGTACATTGTTTTACCTTTAAGACGTTTCTCCCGTTGCTTTCCTGACATGAAACGATTCCCTGATCTCAGTCAGAGGATCCAGGAATATGACCTCCTTTGGTCATTTAGGGAACGGTAATATTTCAGAGGCAATCATGTGTTGCGACGTGTATCCAGCAATGGTCATCTCTTGCCTCTTCTCTGTCCCACTGTCAGCTGACACTTTCTTATTCCTTCCTCTGAAAGTGTTGGGAGAGTAAGACTCATCTCCTCCAGATACTCAACTCATTGGACCTAGTTGGAAAGAACATCAGAAAATGAAATGCAAAAACCAAAAGTATGATGCTGCAGTTTTAGAGAACCGCTTGTTGTGAGTGCTGCAAGTTCCCTGACACCATGTCTTATGAGTGTGTGTAACAGCCTGTAGAGCTGATGCGAGTGTGTGTGTGTGTGTGTGTGTGTGTGTGTGTGTGTGTGTGTGTGTGTGTGTCTGTGTCTGCATATGGCCGTGACATACAGGGCAGGGTGACACTGCTGGAGCCGGGTGTCTGTGTAACTCTATCTCCCTCCACACAGACAATACACACACATTCATCCCCCTTGGTGACATAACACACAGTTATAGCCATAGAAGCTTCACTTCCCACCAGTAAAACACTACAGTCACTATTGAGTTTCAGATATTCAAGATGAACACTTGATCCTCTGCTGCAAACTGTTCTGCAGCTGGAGAACATAAACATACTTTTTTTTCTTGGAGTGTGTGTTAGTGTGTGTGTGTGTGTGTGTCACTCACTTCTGGTTGGTGACTAAGCAGATTCTGTCTTCTTCTCTTCCTCCACTCGATGAGTTTCACTGCTTTTCTCTTCCGTCCTCATATTAACACAGTTCTCGGTTCCCTCTCTTCTCGTTTTCCGCCTTATCTTTTTGCTCTCTTCTCCTCTTCCCTCCTCTCCTCTCTATCTTCTCCCTCACACACTCTTGGGGTATCTGTTGCTGTCGACTGTGTTGCCCCTGACACCTGAGATACCAAGAGGCGAGCGCCTTCTATTTTAACCACCTCACTGCCAAATAACAGACTAATTATCCCCCATTCCTATGTGACCAACCTGGAGCATCAACTCAGAGCTCATAACAAATATAATGTCTTTTAATAATTGGGAAACTGTTCACATAGCAGCACATACATTAAGGTAAATAGCACAATTTGCACCAAAACCTTACCTGCCTTATTTTCCAATTAGGCTTTGTTCTATGATATCCTTGCTTAAATATGTGAGCATATTTGAAAATAGGGTTGTTTCTTTTTTTGATAAATTAGCTTTTGGGCACTGCAAAATAAGCTTTAAACTGCATACCATTGATTGTATACTTTTAATAAGTAAGTACATTGAAGGCCTATCTTTTTAAATTTTGCTTTTATTTATAGTTGTATCACTGTTCATGGTTGTTTCTGTAAAGCACTTTGGGCTGCATCTTAATGCAGTGCTATATAAATAAAGTGTATTATTATATAAATACAATTTAATATACATCATAAATCAGATTTCCATAATCAAAAACTGTGTATCCAGGAAATGTTTCTTTATAAATGTAGATTTCAAAGTGTGCAAATATTAAAGAAATAGCAGACGACAAAATAAATAGAAATAGTAAAAATAAAAATAAATAAATACAATTATATATGCTCAAAACAAAAACAATTATGATATGTTAGAAATAAGTGAAGAGCGGCGGTAGAAAATATAATGTAATTAAATAAATAATTACATTTCTTGTGATGCGAGTTTCTTCTTTCGACTAACTTCCTTGAAATCTTACCATCAGGCATCTGCTAGTCGTGTCTGTTAGGATGTACTACGCATGCGCAGATCGGAGAAACTGCCGATGTGGCTGCTGAACTTTTTATTAAGCCGTAAGAACCGAAAACTGTTGACATGAAACTTTTTATACTGACTTTCTTTGTCCTCTGCTGCTCCGTTACAGCAGAGCAAGACGAAAGACTGCCGAACAAATGCGAAGGTAGGATTTTAAAAAAGTGACACTAGCTTTTAATGCTATGTATGTGGCTTTATAACAGCAGTATGGCTTGTGTTTACATAGTTGATGTCCAGGAGTGTGTGCCTTTGACATGAACATGCTTATAAAACGTTTTTAAATATCTGTTTCTCCTGTCTGTCAGTGTGTAAGTTTCTGTCAGTAGAGCTGCAGGATGCTCTGGAGAAAAGTGGTCGATCCAAAGAAGTCCTGGAGCTGGGAGAGGTGCTGGACTCAGGCAGGAGGAGAAGGAAGATCAAATACAACACCTCGTGAGTAAACTCTGGGGAATGTCACTTTAAATATACCTGAGAGTGCAGACAGTATCTAATACTACTTTACTTTGACTTGCTCCTATCTTAATTACAAGCTACTGTACAACTAACTATGTGTATGTGTTCATACTGCATACTTACTGAGAATATTAATATATTTTAAATTTGTATTTTATGTATTTTATTCAACTTTTAGGTCGTTTTGTTATTCTTGTAGATTGTCAAAATGCTGCTGTGACAAAATAATTTCTAGACTTGGGATGAATAAAGTATCTATTGTCAATCTATTTTTTAGTTAGACAATTAAACTACTGTAACACAATCTGTAGTAACTTTGACACAAACACTTTTATTTCCACTTCTGTTATCTGGATGCTATCACACTACTTCTACATGCTACACTCGTTTTATTTTTGAAAAATACTATTACTGTACTTTTTGTTTTCCACCTGGATGGGTACTGTAGATTGTAATTTGTGTAATGTCCTTCTCTAATGTTTAATGCATGCCTATTAATACATTGTTTTTCCTCTTTCCTTTTGCTGTAACAATGTTAACTTCCCCTCTGAGGGATTAATACGTGTATTCTGATTCTGATACTTTACACATTGCATTGTTAGACTGCTAGAAAACCTGCATCTTTGTATGTTTGTGTGTAACATCACCATCTAACCCTGTATTCTGACAATAGGGAAACCCGTCTGACTGAGGCTCTGGACAACATATGTGAGCGCGTCCTGCAGTATAATGTTCACGCAGAGAGGCCAGGCAGCCTCCGATACGCCAAGGTCAGGTTTACTAATCTGCTTTTAACCTCTCATCTGTTGCATTACACAGGTATTAGTAGCTTTTTTTTAAGCAGGTGTTTTAAGGTCCATCTTGGATTAAAGAAATGCATTTGACATTTATAGGTGACATGTTTATTATGCAGTATGTTCCATGTGAAAAGACAAATTTAACCTAAAAACTTGCTCTGTAAAATGTTATATAAATAAACTGTTTTGTATATAATGCAGGGGGCCAGTCAGACCATGACGACTCTGAAGAACCTGGTCCACAAAGGGGTCAAAGTGGATTTGGGTCTGCCATTTGAGCTGTGGGACGAACCCTCCGTAGAGGTGTCAGACATGAAGAAACGGGTAGGAGGATGTGTGGTTCAGTGTATTAATATAAAGGGATTTTACAACCTTACACTTGTATTTTAAAGTGTGAGGAAGGTATCTGTGCTAGATATAGACAATTGCCTTTGTTAACACTACAATAAAAGTGTTTACAGTAATATTATTTGTGTGTTGTTCAGTGTGAGACGATGCTGGAGGAGTATGAGGAGGTCGTGGAGGACTGGTACTTCAATCATCAGGAGAAGAGGCTGGAGAGCTTCCTCTGTCAGAACCAAGTCCTCAAGACATCAGAGCAAGGTGATTAAGTGATGCCGTCGGGTTATAATCTAATGCTGCTTTCAGTGTGTTTAGATGAATTCAGGTTGAGAGCACATCGACTGAAGTCTCATCTGACATTCATGCTAAACAGACGCATACTATTATCTATTATATGAGAAATGAGGAACAACTGTCAGGTGAGATGTACAAAGCTTTCTGTCCCTGATTAGTCAAGCTAGGTCAAAAAAGGGGAGTTAGTTCACTTGACCCAAAGATGTCGGAATAGGTATTTAATATTCACCATTTATTTATAGAGAGTAATAAGGTGTACGCAAACTCACTGAACATAACACAAGTGAGCTAGCTCTTCTCTCTGCAGATAACAAAGTATGTAGCTTAAACCTCCTTGAGTATTTTGTTTTTTCTCTCCCTCAGAGTGCATAAAGGAAATGTGGAAAGGAGACATGAGAATCAAAAGTGAGGCCAAGGAGGCAGAAAGCCACGGCGCAGAAGAGGAGAGGAAAACCCATGATGCTGGAGAGCTATGAGGGGGAAAATATATAAAAGTGAAACGCAAAAGAAACCTCAAATTTCCCTGCCAATAGTAAAAAAATATATATGTATTTTGACACAAACATGTTTTTATTATATTTCTACTGCCAAATCTTGGCAGTCTTGGGAGTCATAATCATGTGTGCTTTTGGACTTTAACACTACGTTTCTCCCGTTGTTTTTATATGAACTGTCGCACATTTTAGTTGAATGAGGTTCCAAGCTTTTGCCATTCATATTTTAGACCTTCTCAGTGTTATATGATGTTTACACGCTGTTACATCTCCTAATGCCAACACTATATGGTACAAAGCAGCATGTTTACAGCCTTATAATGCAATATGTACAGTTTTTTCAGTGTGAATAAAATGCCTTTTATAACACTTTTGGATATTTTAGTTTTTTCTACATTTCTATCAGTTTTCAATGAAACATCACCATTTCTTTAACTTCTCTATAGTTCCTTTATATGTACCCTGTCTAAATTACGAACAATAGTAGCTAAACTGGTGAGCTTCTCAAAAATTAAAATATAACCTTGTTTTTCTTTTACCATAGAACTTGTTTATTTTATAAGAGCAAGAAAAACACATTTTAGTGCAACTCATTCTCCCTATGCAACCAGCTGGATCGTTGCTAAATGCTGCCCCCTAGTGGTTTCATATTGACACTGACACAGATTTGGCAGTGTCCTATTGTGTTGAGGGATGTTCCTATTTCATACCAGTGTGAATATGGAAGGTGCATTTACAGACACAATATTCATGGCTGTGTATGTATGAATTTCAACTTCATTGTCTATAATTCCACACTTAATATTTATACTTTCTTGTTACTGTGGTCATTTCTCCTCTTGTCCAGCCCTGAAGTGATGCTATTTAAATATAAGCAATGGATTTAACCCTTAGATGCACGAGTGACTGGACCCTACACTCTTCCATAAGTGGGTCAAAAAGGACCCGTATTAGAATAATATGTGTTTTTATGCCATTTTTGTCATTTTGGTTAAGAAAAATCACTTGTATAATATTTAGTATTATATTTTGGTTCACACCAGAAATATTTTATATTTAATTTTTCACTATTTATAATTTTAGACATTTTTTTTACATTTTGAAAATAAAATGAAATTCCAAAGAAAATGCATGCGGGTCATTTTTGACCCACTTATGGAAGCTTGGGGTAGTAATACAAAAACTACAATTTTTTTTTATTAAAATTTAAAATTTGAATGGCATGATATCCAAAACATGTTTTTTGAGGAATAGCTGGAATTTGAAATGATAAAAAAATGTAATTACAAAGATACTTCAAGAAAACCACCTCACCGGGTCAAAAAAGACCCACTTATGCATCTAAGGGTTTAAACGGACTGAGGCCAGAGGGCAGATCCTCTCCTTAAAGGTGACCATGTAATGCCTTGCATATTTAGAATTCATACAAAAATATGTATATTGTTTTCACATTAAACGTGGGAGAATTCACAGCACATCATACTTTTCCAAAAAAATGTGAACTCACTTTCACTTGCAGTTTTTTTGTTACTCCAATCAAGTCATTTGCTTTGAATTAGGCACTTTATTTGGGATAACTCACCCTTTACTCTGATAAAT